TCAATGTTAAGGGACTTCTGAATCCAGAGACCCAGGTTAAGAGTCACAGTGAGATCCGTCTCAAATACTTGCATGTAAACCAACCCGAAATGCTGTGTGCGTCTGTGCTCCTTTCTAAAATGGCCTTCAACAATGATAAGCGGATGTCAAGGTAACTAAACCGAGAGGCCCTGACCTCAGTATCCATGCTCCGGCATTCCTTCCCTGGCAGCTTACAAGGAGCGCTTGTCCCAAACATGTGAGATGATACACCTCTGACCAGGATGGAATAATGACATCTGTCAGCCACATACCAATGCTTCTGGGGTCATCTGGGAATTCAGCAGCAGACACAAGACCAGGGGCCTGGGCTGCCTGGGCTTAGTGAAGCCACTTCAAGGCGACTCCCCAGACATGGTCTTCCGTGTCAGTCTCAGGACACGACAAACAGGCCTGGTTTCCTGTTCATCTGCCTGAAGACAGGCTGGAGTGTTGCAAATGACCTTGAAAGCAAGTAAAGTGAGAAACAAGTGGGTGCGAGGAGGTGGGGAGTCAAAGTGGAGATGTCTGCTTTCTCCTTCACAGGCTAAGCTGAGCTCTCCAGTGCTGACCAGGACAAAGGACTGTTTCTGGTGGGAAGAGGTTACACTCCCTCAGTGGACTGAAAAACCAGGACCGCATTCTGAAATGTCCAAGGTTTGGACCCACCAGCTGTTCCATGGGAAAAACTTGTGGCAGTTTGCCCCCATAAAGACTTATAGCCTTAGAAATCCTATGGGAATACCACTCTATCATATAGGGTTGCCATGAATGGGAACCAACTTGAATTTTTAAAGTATGCAATCATGATCAATACACAGCCAGAACATTTAGTTCCTCTTAAGAATACCAAAAACTGATTCCTGTCACGCTCTAATCGGAACTAGGTTCTCCCCTGAGAACGGTTTTCTCCAGGAGCCCTTCCAAGTGCCTCTCCTTGACCCTGTCCCCCTCCACTGACCCCCAAGCCCCTGCTCTCATGTCAGAGTCAAACGTCCACCAGGCATCCTGCACCTCACTTCTCCATACTTTGGTCCCCTGCTATCAAGCTGTGGTTGTTGCTATCAAGTGACATCGACTCAGCAGCCCTGTATAGGGTTTCCAAGGAGTGGCTGATGGATTTGAACTGTCAACCTTGTGGTTCGCAGTCCAGTGCTGATCCTGAAGTGACACACCAGGACTCTGCTATCCAGTTATCCTAATTCTTAGCCATTTCCATGCCCGGGTAGATGATTCGTCCATTATCCATTCTCCTCTCTAGTGATCTTGTCCTTCCCTCCCAAGGCACATACTTTGTCTCAGCTGCTCGCCTTTTCAGTCTCAATTTCATGAATTTCTCTCTCTGCCCATCACCTCTTCTCTTCCTAATTTGCTCCAACAATCAATCCACTGGCCCTACCGCCTTTCTAGGGCTCCCTCATCTCCATGAAGTCTTCACACAGAAGAAAATCCACTATCAACCAATATAACCTCTCCCTTACAGAGCCATGACCAGCGAGTCAATTCCAGCCCATCCAGGGTTCCTGAGACTGTAAATCTTTGCAGGTACAGCCTACTTTATCTTTCTCTTACAGGGTGGCTTATGGGTTTGAACCGCCAACGTTGTGATTAGTGCCCCAATGCCTAACCCGCAGCACTAGCAGGGCGCTGCAGGAGAAAGTTGAAGTAATCTGCCCCCGTAAAGACTTACAGCCTCAGAAACCCCAGAGAGAAGTTCTACTCTGTTATGAGTCAGAATTCACTCAAGGGCAGTGGATTTGGTTTCTTTGAGGGGACTTACATAATCTCTCTGGAGTCTTGGTGGGGTGCTGTAGGATAAGCACTGGAGAGCCTTGCTAACCATGAAGTAGGTGGTTCAAACCCACCAGCTATTCCTAGGAAACCCTATAGAACTGACTCCATAGCACTCCCCTTCCCCACCACACTCATCCGGTAGGACCTGTGCAGCTAAGCTACATGTGACTGGACAAACACTGCTTTGGGCAGCTAGCCTTACCTCCAACTTCCTGAGGAAGCCAAAGCCATTCTGCACAGTTGTCTCTGCGGCAGCAGCTGGCCTTGAGTGAGCATTATTATCTGTGGCCTGGCTTGCTCAGCACCCCAGTTTGGGTTAGGAATCAAACACCACAGATGAGTTCAGAGTAAGCCTAAGACCCAGGTAAAAGCCAAGTAACAACAGGGTACATCCCCAACAAAAATCACCCTCTGAAAAGATACAGGAAGGCTGGCCAACTCTGGTTCCCATGGCAAGAATGGACCAGTGCTACATTCCTGATCCTTAGAACGGAATCTCTCCTCATTGGGCCTAAACATTCACATTAGCTCATCTTTTGCTTCCTGCCTTGGGCATGGGGAGATTAGCCAGTCTCCGGAAGTCGCTACAGCTGATGACTTGGTGCACACCCAGCCTGCTTTCTCTCTCTCCTCCCAGTATGCGGGCAGATGGAGCCCTCCACCATCTGGCTCCTGCCTTCTTCTCCCGCCTCACATCCTCCTCCAGTTCTCCCTTCCCTCCCCCTCCTGCTACGTTGGCTGCCTTTTCTTTGAATACATGGAGCTCACTTTTTGTCTTTATATTCCATTATCCAACTGGAAGGAACCTGAGTGGACAAGCGGTTTGCAATCAGCTGATAAACCTACAGGCTGAGTTTAAACTCAGCTAGTGATTTCAGAAGAAAAGGCCCGGTGCACTGCTTACAGCTTTGCATTGATAAAGGAGCTCTGGTGGCATAGTGGGTTACAGGTTGGGCTGCCAAATGCAAACCAACTGGTCCAAGGTCAGCTCTGTGGAAGAAAGATGAGGCTTTCTGCTCTTATAAAGATTGACAGGGTTGCTGTGAGCCAGAACCGACTTGATAGCACACAACAACATTAGTAACATGTACTACATAAAAATGTTGCAGTGTGTAATTTGCTGATGTTATCACTCTTAGATGTTCAATGGCAGATGTTCAAGGTTATAATTTATAAAGATCCTGATGAGAAAAGAACATTTACAATGACAAGTTTAACTGAAATTACAAGGCTCATAAAATCTTGGGAGTTTGAGAGCGAAACTACCCTATACCAGTGTTTCTATTTCATAAACTGTCAGAACAAAAGTCCAAACCACCACTCCTACCCAATGTCACTTCATAGTCATCACTGAGACAGGACTCTAAATTACACCCTTACCTAAACCCCGTAACTAGAATCACAACAATCCATCTGAGTAAACTGGAAGAAAACAAATGTTTCAAAGTCTTTCATGGAACTGTCTGCTATTAACTCAGTCAGAGTTTCTTAAACTTTCTGAATCACGGACCATTGTCACAAAATGAAAGCTAATTGGTCTGATAATAAAAGGCAATAATAATGAAAATGCTTTTTGTTTTTTATTTTGTTGTTGTTGTTTTTTTTTAAAAAAGAGGTATTTGACTTACATCAGTACCAACTTATGATGGAATTGTCGGGACGCAACCCCACCCTAATTCAGGGGCTACGGGTATAGAATCACAAAAATTTATACACAGACATCAAGGGTACAGCCCCAAAACCTCATAGGCAGTTCTACTCTAGCACACAGGGTGACCAGGAGTCAGGGGCTGACTGAATGGCAGCAGCTCACCAACACCCCCAACCTAACACCCTAACACCGGCGCCAAGAACTTTGTGTGGCCGCCGCCTCAGTCCAGAAGCCTCCCCTGACCACCTTGAGCCTCATCTCAATCCCTTTCTTACATCATTCTGTTCCTGTCTTTCACCCTGTTCATTAATTCCTAGCAATTTGATCGGGTGGCAAGTGCTCTATACTTAGCTGCTTACTCACAATCTCTCCCACTAGAATTTAAGCTTCTGAGAGTGCAGGGACCTGCTTGTCCGAAGCACAAATACATCACCAGTTCAGAGACCTACAGCAAGGGGTTCAAGGCGTTCTGTTGAATGAATTCTTCTACCAAGAGAGCTCTTTTCCAAGTCCTCTTGAGCTTTTGTGAAGCAGTTAGAGTTAACACAATGCTCGTTCAAAAACCCTTATAATGTAAAGATTAAGTCAGACGTTGCGCTCACCAAGCTCATTTCTAGGGCCTGGTCCAATGAACCAGAAATCTGGTGTGGTGCTGTAGGATAAGCACTGGGCTGTTAGCCAAAAGGTTGGCGATTTAAACCCACCAGCCACTCCTTGGAAAGCCTATACAGGATGGCTATGAGTTGGAAGTGAACTCCACGGCACTTAACAAGAGTCTAATGAACCAAACCCCAGCGTCTCAATCATAGTACTCTCTTATGCCAAGGCGGCCCCACCCTTACACCCTGGCATTTTTCTTCCCTCCAGCACTTTCTCTTCTTTGCTTTTCCTTCCTTTGGGTACCACGGCGGAAAATCTTGGGTATATATATACTTTACATGAGATTAAACTGTTTCTTGTGGAGTCCCGGTGTGGCGCTGTGGGTTAATGCGCCAGACAGCAAAGCCGTTTGAACTGCAAGGCCGGCGGTTCAAGCTCACCAGTTGCACGTCGGAAACCCTATACAGGGTCGCTATGGGTCGGAACCGACTCGACGGCACTTATCAACAACAAACTATTTCTTGGAGTCATAGTGTGGCAATGTGGGTTAATGCGTTGGACTGCAAAGTCGGTTTGAACCACACATGCAATTAAATTCAACAGGCACCCTCTTCGGACTGGTCTCCCTGAGCCACCCTTGCGCCAGGGAACTTTCCTCTGCCAGCAAGAGGCTGGACTTCGGTTGTACTTTTCTCACTTGGTCAATATCCTAGTCTCTTCCCTTAAATATCTTAAAGATTATTTCCAACGCTCGGCCTCACTCTCAAGGGCTCTCAAAAAAACCTCTTCTCAAAGTTCAATCACCAGAGTTGGCGCCACACACTGTAGAACCTCACCAAGTCTCCCCCAACGCCCTCCCCGCTCAGACCTAGCCCGGGACCCCGCGAATCTCACTGTGGGTCACCCACTCCTTCGAGACACCCGCCCGGGACCTCACCGTGGACGCCACCTTCTTCGTCGGCTGCCTCAGTACGGAAGAGGAACAGTGATGCCAGCAGGACAAGGAGCACCAGGCACCGCCTCGGCCCACACAGCTGCGCCATGTCGGGCTCCACCTGGCTGTCCCAGCGATTCCTCGAGCCGCCGGCTGTTGGGGGGGAGGGGGGATTGTCTCTGATCAGGTGCGGAAAGACCCTGGCCGCACACGCGCTGTTCAGGTATGGGCGCTCCCCCCAGAGGGTCCGCGAGGTGCCGAAGGCTCCGGGAAATCCCTTGCTCAGACCCTCCGCCTTCTCCGCCCCGCTCTGGTGGCACTCACCCCTCTCGCCTCCCGACTACCCTGAGACTCTCCTACCAACCTGCCTTGGCCACACGTCCGAAACGCTCGATGGGCGCCAGAACCAATGGCGGACGCCTTGGAGCAGTTACGAACGGTGGCTGACCGAGGAGGAGGCGGGACGCACCTGACGAGGCGGACCGTGAAAGGCGCAGGCGCAGAGGACAGGCACCTGAGCGGCCGCTTCCCCGCCCTCGCGCACCTGGGCCCCGCCCCTGTCGCCAGAGGGGGCGGAGCTTGTGTTGCGTAGGACCAGGGCGGGGCCTGCGCTGCGTTTGACCGGCCCGAGTGGGAGGTGAGAAGTAGGGGAGCTGCTGGTCTTCTGCTGCCCTTGCGCGTGCCCTTGGCGGTGGCGATGCCGTCGATCGCCTTCGCTCTTGAGCTGGTGGGAGGAGGGGGCGTCAGACGCACTTCCTGAGAGCCTGTGGTCATCTGCCCGCCTCACCTCAGCCTTCCCGATTTCAACTTCCCAGTTTCAACTCGGGGGCGCTGTGCTGGAAGACGCAGCGACCACGCCAGACTAGTGTTAGTGTCACCAGACGGGATCACAGTAGTGATGGCAGTGATGAGGGCTGTGGTGGGGGAACCACAGGCAGAGTGAACAGACGCTGAGCTAGGGAAAGATCAGAACAAACTGGGAGCCTGAGAACGGGCCAGAGAGCTTTCTGAGGTGTCTGACCCATGAAAGAGACACTCAGACCTTGCCTCCAGGACTCCCAGAACCGGGCAGCTGCCTTCGAGCTGATCGCTATCCATAGTGACCCTACAGAACAAACAGATTTGCCCCGTCGGGTTTCCACTCTCTAAGATAAGCACAGGACTACTAACCAAAAGATCGATGGTTCAAACCCACTATCTTCTTCTTGGAAACTATACTAGGTCGCTATGAGTCGGAACCTACTCGGCGACACTTGACAACATCAAAAATCCTTATGAACGCTGGTGGCACTGTAGGATAAGCACTGGATTGCTAACAAGGCTAACTAGATCAGCGGTTCGAGCCTACCAACTTCTCAGTGGGAGAAATGAGACTTTCTTCGCCCATAAAGATTTACAGCCTTGGAGATCCTATTGTTGTCAAGTGCCCTTGAGTCTATTGTGATGTATAGTGACCCTGTATAGGGCTTCTGTGGAACAGCTTGTAGGTTTGAACCCACAGTGTCACGATTCAGAACAACAGAACAAAATACTACCCACTTCTGCCATTCTCATAACTGATATGTTTGAGCTCACTGCTGCTGCCACTGTGTCAAGCCATCTTGTTATCCAACTTCACATGTGTATGTTGTTAAATGCCATTGAGTCACTTACCTGCATAGGGTTTCCAAGCAGCATCTGGTGGGTTTGAACCACTGACCTTTAGGTTAGCAGACCAGTGCTTATTCTACAGTACCACACCAGGTGATTGCACCTTGGTCCTCAAACTAATATCTTTGCTCTTTAGCATTTTAAAGAAGCCTTTTGCAGCAGATTTGCCTAATGCAATACATTGTTTTATTTCTTGACT